CTGGGACATTCCATCATTCTTATCCTCCTTATATTGGATTTTTAAAGATTCTCCTGCAAGACGTGAAGAATTTTTTACGTATATCTGGCTTAAAAAAGCTACCTGTGAAGTTCTGCTTTTTACCGATGGTTGCAAAATGTCCCAGCAGTTGAAAGAGCCATTGAAATGTGGGATGACTTGCTACTGTACATTAAAGAAGTTGAAATGGGGAAGTTTTTAAAAAAAATTCATCGAAATCCTTCTCAAATATTTTGGAGGCAACTAAAGATAAAACATTTCTTATAAATTTTTTTTTTTTCTCTCTCTCTCTGTCGAAAATATTATTGCCTTTCTTTGAATATATCAAAGTGATAAACCACTTATTTTCCTTTTTTGCTGAAGATATCTTAAAACTTGTAAATAATTGCCTTTCAGCACTTTAAAATTTTGAAAACTAGAATATTCAAAATAACTAAAGCCAGAAAATCTTTATAAATTTAATTTTAATGATCAAAATTGTTATAATGATAAAAGTAAAGTTTATTTGGGATTCATTGCTGAGCAGTTAATGAATGATAAATGCCGCAAGAAGGACATTTCACAAGCTAAAAGTTTTGCATTGAAACAAGGTCAACAATATGTCTTAACAATAGTACAACACTTAATGTCTAAATGTCCAATAAATTATTCTCTTATTCGAAATGCATCTTGTATAGACCTGCAATTGATAGTTAAAAGCCCAGAACAAAATGAAAATAGTTCTAATGGTATTAATGCAGAATAAACGTGTTTTACAAGATGATTGGGATGAAATTCTGCTGCAGTTTGGAGAGTTTCTAGACAAAGTAGTTAAGACAAATTTACATGAATTTTCTACTTTTGATCCTCAAAATCTTTCTCTTGACACATTTCTCACTTCTTATTTTCATGATTTTCACTATTCAAAAGTATGGAAAATAGTGAAAATGATTCTTATCTTGTCACATGGACAGGCCTCTGTGGAAAGGGGCTTCTCTGTAAATAAAGCAATTGAATACATATCTATGCGATGATATGTATTCAATTGCTTTATTACAGCAGTATATCAATTGCTTTATTACATATCATTTGAGATAATTAAAGTGACTCATCATACATTTTTCAACGCACAGTATTTGATTACATAAAATTTTCTGGAGGTGTTCTTAATATCAAAATTAATAAAGAAATGAGATCAGCAGCAGCTTCTGCAAGGTCTAAATATATGCAGTATTTAGAAGAACAAAAATCTTTAACTAAATCTGAAAATTCAAAGAGGAAACGAAATATCATTGAGGAAGAAATTGATTATATGAAGCAGAAGAAAAAATTTCTTCAAAGGGACATTAAAGATATTAATGAAGCAGTAGATTATATGCTTTAGCAGATGAAGCTGAGACCAGCATGAACATTAATTTGTTTATCAAAGCAAATGAACTTAGAAGAATAGTTAAAGAAAAGGAAATAGACATAAATAAATTAGATGTTAAAATAGCTGAAAAGATTTCACAATAGCTGAATGGTTAAAATAGCTGAAAAGAAAAAAAAGCACAAATGTTTTGTATCTTTTATTGTACAGTTTATTATTCTAGTATCTTTCAAAAAACCAAGGAAATAAATTGTATGTTTACAAATCAGTCATTTTAATCTGCAAAATATTCTTACATTGTGATTATAATAGTAGTTGACTGTGTATCAAATAAGTTAAATAATAATCATGTAAATCTCTAAAATAGTGACTGTTATTAGTATAAAATACACTTATACATGTTTTTAAAGAAATTATGTTCCTAATTTAATGTTATCTACTTCATAACTTGTAGGGAGTTAGTTTAATTTTCAAAATTGTTTTATGGTAAGTATTAAAGTGAATTTAATAATAGTGCATAATACACACTTCTGTTACTTTCTTAAAGTGAAATTACAAGCATGAAGTCGGTTGTATGGATAATTGATTTATTCTATTCGTTTTTTTTTTTTTAAAAGTCCTTAATTTTCATATAAGGAAATGTGTATGAACCCTGGTCAATGCAACGTGTTTATGTTTTGCAACGCTGCAAACAGTAAGATCATGAGTGCGTTTCTTATCTGTTGTTGTATTAAAAAGCGCTGAAATTTAAAATATTCTTAACTTATCCACAAAATATCTGGATAAAAAAAACGGCAGCACTAAACAATCTCGTGAAATAACAAAGCTCAGAAAGTACAACAACGTGATCGTGAACTTCAAAGAAGAGTTGAGTGAATCGTCTGCTTTTCTACCTCGATGCAGATTGGAGAGAAAAAAACTTTTATCATGATGTCAATAATTTGGTATTTCCATTATGACTTATTATTATTTGGTAATTATGACTTAATTATCCGGTAAATATTTTTTCTTTGATATTTCGTATTCCATGTTGCGGTTTCTGAAACCTATAAACTGAATGTTTATATTTTGATAGGCAATGCGGATTTCAGGAGTTGGCGGCTGTTCAGTATTTGACTGTACATGTTTTGTTCCTCTGGACAATTTAGACTTTAAACCGTTTTAAACGAATTACTGTTTTTGATAAATAAGATTCCAGAGAGTCTCAAATAAGTTCACAGCTTCCTGTACATGCATTCATACTCTCAGAAAAATTTAGTCATTAAAATTAAAGGCAAGAAAAATAGCAACATCTTTTAATAGTCACCAGTGTTGAGAATTATACAGTAATCTTTTTTTAGACATAATAGATATCATCTGATCAAAAATAACTCTAATGTCACTCAAATTTTCTGTCGGAAGTTAAACTGGTCCACTCAAAACAGTGGCCATAATAGCTCTAGCGGGCGGTCTTTGAATTTATCACTCCGCTTAATATACAAACAAATAACTAAAGAAAAATGTGAAAATTATTTATTGGGAAATAAATTTGAATTGTAAGTTTATTTTTGAAGATAAAGTATAATTCCAACCTTTTAAAATTATATTATTATTTTGCTTTAGTTTTTCTTTTCAGAACTCTCAATAACATTGTAGAAGTCTACTTTATTGTTCCTATAATGTAGATAGTGTAAAAAAATATTTTTTAAATGCATAAACATTTATAGTTGTTCCTAAATATGTCTTAAATGAAAAATAAGCATTTATTGTTCTAAAATACTTTCTAAGTGATTTTTATTTAGAAGATAACACCACCAGCAGCACTTACAGTAATTGTGAGAAAAGTTCACAATAGTATTACAATATTTGGAACTTTATTCTGGAGATTGTATTTTAGAATAAATTATAAAAATTCAAAAGGAGTACCCATCGACATTTTCCTAGTGATAATGGAAATAAAACTTTTCAGATACTTCTCTCTTAACAAAAGTTCTTAATTATTAGTGTCACTGTGATCATAAATTACTCAATAATTGTAATTTTCAGTTAAAAGTTTGAATGGAATGAAAAAGGTACAGTCAAAAGTCGTTAATTCGGACACCCATAATCCGGAATGATCTATAATCCGGACCTCAAAGCTAAAAACTTTCTGCGCATGCGCCGCATTAGCACAGGCGTTTTACGCGAGCGTGTAAGAACTTGACCACTGCGCATGTGCGTGTGAGCAAGCGCAGAATACGTTTTCACCTGCGCGTTTAATGTATAACGGACGGTGTAGGCTAAAATTATCTAATTATCTATTTCAGTTAATGTTAATGATTGCGTTGTTCCTTAAACTTCGAATAGGATCCCGCTTATTATTTTTTGCAGACTGTAAGAGCAATTTTATAAAAGTAAACTTGAACTTTCGATTAATTCAAATAGAATTTCGCCGACTGCTGAATCCAAGGATCTACAAAACGAAAGTATTGTTCAAGGTCAATGAAACAAAAAAAGTGAAAAGTGAAAATTGCTGAAAAAATGGATAAAGACATGAAGAATGTGACAGAGAGGTTAGTGAAAACGAAAAATTTCGATTGACCAGTTAGTCGGTATTCTCTGCACAGCAATTAACGGGACTTGAACAGCGGAACTTTTAACTGAACAAGAAATTATGTCTGTTTATAGAATTAAAGAGAAAGTATTAGTATCACATAAAATGAAGCAACTTAAACAACTTACATTGAAAGAATGTTTAATAAAGTAAACAAATAAATATTAAGCTTCTTTTTTTTGTAAATTTTGATACCCTTTAGATCATAATTGTTCTTTATTTCATAAATTACGGTTTCGTATTTTTAATTTTAGAATTTCTGCATGCCATCTTACGAGATTTAAACTGATGATCTATAATCCGGAAAAATCGATAAACCGGAATCGCCGAAGTCCCGACGAGTCCGGATTAACTACTTTTGACTGTATAACAATGCAGCTCTTGAATTTTCTGGTGATTTCTTTGGATACTTTATCTTTAATAAAAGCTTTCCCCCCCCTTTCAATTTAATTTTTTCATGTTTTTGTAATAGTTTGAGATAATTAAAGAAATGAAAGTTGCAGTTTTTTCTTTTTAATCACTTTAAACATTATTTCAATAAAAACAAAAGTTTCAATCATTACAGAATTATAATGTGAAAGATGTTATGTATATGATCAGTTTTAAACATTTTTTTAAAAATGTATTGGGAGATGAACTACAAAAAATACTTTACAAATTATTTAGCTTCTTTAACATAAATAAGTACTAAATAGAAATTCTTCATTAAAATTGTTATTTTTTTAAAGATATCATTGAAATTCACTTAATTCATTTTGTACCTTTACATATGTAATATTCATTAATAAATAATAAATTTTTATTAAATTCACTGAATCTTGATAACTTTTCCTTCTGGAAGAGTATGCTTTTTCAGATTTCTGTGATCTTGATTCCCTCCCACAGATGTTAAGCTGCTGAAATAACTATTTGTTTACCTCTAAAAACTTTTATTAGAAGTAGTAGTTCTGATGTTTTAAACTGTGAAGTTTAGTAGGTATGAAAGAACCATTTGAATGCAGTCTGACAATTTATTTATAATATAATTTTTATTACTTATCTGATTTTAACCTCTTTTAGAAGAATCTGAAATTATGCCTTACCCATCAGATGAAGACAAAAGCTTTGACAGCTCAGATGATAATTATGTTCAGCCATGGAAGAAGTTAGCTGAATACAAGGATCCTTACAATCCACTTTCATGAGTGTGTTACTTCTTGCTTTCAATGTACTTTTTTTATACATAGAATTTTGTTTATTTTAGAGGTTTTGATCTGCAACTTCTGCAAAATGTTGAGCTTGTTTTTATTTCTTTACTTGTAACTTTATTTTTAAGAGCATATTATTTACATGGTGCTCAAAATTGCACATACTCTGATATACGATCATGTAACTTAAATGAGAAATGACTAAAGTGATGTCAGGGCTGATGCATCAGCCCTGATATCACTTTAGCCATTTCTCATTTAATTGTCACCCCTAAATTCTGATGAATTTAGCTGTCTGCTGAATTTAAAGAAAAAAAAGAGAGAGAGACCCATGATGATGTCTTAATTAATATATATCTAAATTGCATTCATATTTGCTTTAACTTTGTTCTAGAAACCTAGCATAAAAATATGTTTTCTACCAAAAAATCTAAATTATATGTGAAATTTTGGTAGCTTTTGATGGTGATTTATAATTTATGAGAATAATACCGCATCTGATATTAAATGTTATTGCTTGTTCTCTTCATTATTTGTAACCTAATTTCTTGAAATCTTATCCCAGTGTTAACCGTGTATTTCACAAAATAGATTAACCAAATAAAATCTTTCTTTTGTAGTTTAAAAAGAAATATGATTTCACTTCTTAATGTTTTCAGTTTAAAGATTTCAAGTGTGTGTAATTGCTTATTTTCAGTTAATGCAATAGCTTTTTGACATCAAAAATAAATACAGATTTAATAAGATAGGTTTCTGCACACTTTTAATGAATCATCCAACCCAGTATAAAAATACTGTTATAAATAATATTTCATATAAAATTCATATTAAATAATTTGAAAAAATTGATAGCCTTTTTTTTTTCCCTTTCTCCAGAAATAACTGTACAAGTACTTCCTTATTATTTCAGTTCCCATTATTTAAACAAGCCAAAAATTATTACAGAGTTTTAATATGAAAAAGTTAAGAACATTCATAATAAACATGTTTACTACTCAAGTAAAATTTGTGGTTGCTGAATTTCTAAGATTACTTTTAATATAACACCAAAATAATTTTCGTTTTCCAAGGATTTATGCTGTGCAGTCCACAAGCTTTGTAATCTGTCTTATTGATAGGCTGTGCCAAATGGCAGTCCTGTTCAGAAATCCTTGTGATAAGTTTCCATGGTTAGGCATTGTTGGCAAACAGCAAAGTACTTTGCCGTTATTTAAATAATAGGGGCTATAATAATAATAAGTACCTTTTTAGAATTATCAAAAAATGCATTTAATATTATGTATATGCTGCTAGGTGAAAACTTTTCTAGGAGGTTAACTTTTAAGTGTATATTTAAATCCTTCTGTGATTTACTATACATATATGCTATATAACTAATAAATCATCATCTATGAATCAATTTATATATTTACTAATTATTATAGTTTTGTGGCTAGGCATTTATGTAAGTGTATTTCTCTCTCTTTATATAGTTAATGATTCTCATTTACCACTGACATTAACATATTCCTCCTCTAAAAAAAAAAGAGCAGTCTCTTAGATACCACTTAAATAATTAGGTATACCTATTTTGAGTGCTATTTAGTAATATTTATTACTAAATGCTGTAATCTAAATTTATTACCAGTATTGCACAATTGTAGTTATTAAAGAATTTTTTTAATTTTTCTAAAGGTGCAATATGAAACGTACCTAAAAATATTTTTATTTGTGTATTATATTTTATTTTTTGAAATCAGAACATGTATTTGTTATCTTTGCTGCATTTAATATGTCATAAATTACTTGCAAACACATAAACTATATTTTTATAACAAAAATATTATGCAGCCTAGGTGAATAAATATTTTTAAACTTTTATAATGTTTGTGTAATATTAAAGTAATATTTATGCAATTTTTATTTCTGTGATACTTGGTATAAAATTTTTTATAAATATAATAAATGTTAAATATTATTATCTGGCTGTTTTGTTTGCTTTTTAGAAAAAAAGAAAGAAAAGTTTCTTTTTAGAAACCTTGAGTGTTAGAAAATATTTAAATTCAGAACTTCGTAGTATGACAGCAAATACATGAAAATATGTGTAAATAGTTGTGACATTTTAGCACTGAAGGGCAAGGTTGTGTTTTAAGAATTATTTGGAAATTCATAGACCTGTCTAAGCAATCTCAAATGGATATAATTTTCAGGCAAAATGTAGGTAAATAAACATTACCCCATTTAGATGGAAATTGCAGTTCTCCTCCCCCATGTAATTAAAAAATAATAATGAACATTTATAGCACAGCAGTTAGAAGATATTTTAATTTAGAATTTGATAGTGTGACAGTAAATACATGAAAATATGTATAAGTAGTCATAAAACTTTGGCAATCACGGGGAAGCAAAAGTTAAGTTAATATCATATGTGTGTTATATATTTAAAGTAATCAAGGATGACTTAAGACTAATCTAAAGTGAGGATATTTTTTTTTTTATTTATTTATTTATTTTGCAAGAAATAGCATAATTTTTTGTGCTTAATACTTTCATGGTGTAAGTGGTTAGCAGATCCAACTAGCAGTTCAAAGGTCTGTGGCTTTAATGTTTCCAGCTGTGAAAAATCGCATTATCTCCACAATGGTGCCTGAACCTAAATGCAATAGACTATGATTCCTCACCACTTTCATTTATTCAGATTAGTCTTTCAGAGTGAGGAAGAATATAAGGAGCTATTACATTTCCTGGTGCATACTCAAGGTTAGTATGTCCAGCTAGCAGTCTGAAGATCCATTATCACATTTGTTGTTTTGGCATAGTTGAACTTTCTTATTTCTTGTTCTAAAAAAAATTGAATGTCTATACATATTTACTTAAAGCATATAAGAGTAGTTTATTGGATGAGTAGCTGGTTGGAGTAGGGTGACATATACCATGTTAAATTTAGTATGTAATTCTCCCCAAAAAAATTGAAATTAAGTAAAGTATCACTTGATAATTAAAGCTTGTTGTTATTGAAAATATGAAATTGTCAGGAGGTTATATGATAGCTACATCAGATATTTTATTTAAGAGATGTGGAAGCTTTGACAGGTTTCTTAAATGTATTACTATTAGAAGCAATATCATTACCATGTGAGTTAGAGTTTACAATTACTATTAGTAGGAATGCTGAAGATGCATTAGAATTGCCAGTACAGCTTCTGAATTACACACACTTTCCTCTCAGGTTCCTTGGCAAATTTGATCGCTTCCTGCATCGTGATAATAAATGTCATCATCACCACCTGTTGTACTTAAGACTTCCTCTGTACTTCATGAGTATATCCTTAGCACATAACAGGTCAATCTCTATTTTCCTTCACTTGAAATGCAAGAATGTTATTGACCAAATCAGCAATGCAGTCCAACATATTCTCATTTTTTATTCAAAATACAGCACACATCAGGGCAATGCCTGGTGATGGATAAAGACACTACTACTGTATCGAGAAATTCATGATCAGCAAAATGTGTAGAAGATGATAAATGTAAAAAATGCCTTCTTTTTTCTACCTTGGGAAACAGCTGGGCCAGACTGTCAAGTGGGGGAGGAGGAGTGATCTAATATTTCTTATATCACTTACTCCTAGAGGAAAAGGTTCTAATGCATATTTAGAACTAGTATATTGCTTATAGCAAAGTACTAATTTGTTACATATTTCACATTGCAGTAAAGAATCTCATGATACTTAGTTTGTTTCCTTTTCCTTCCTTATAAAATTAGCAAATGTTAGGAACAATTTAACATCTTTGTGATTGGAAATGTACATTAAGCAAGTAATAAATTTTGCCAGACCTTAGTGCTAACTCTGCAGTACATATTTGGATAATGAATTTTTAATAATAGCTTCGGTCTTTGTATGTTCAAAAGATTTTGGGGTTGACGTTGGAAGAAAAAAAATATATATTACAATTAATACGAATAAACATGGCTTTGGCTACCAAATACCTTTCCTTCACTTCAGATGGAATGCTTCCATAATATTTCATATTTTTCTGATGGAACAGTTGAAGTAATAATACTCTTATTTCAAAATATTGCTTCTTCATGCATTGCAAATTCCTTTATGCAGAAAATGCACAGTGATTACTTGGATATGAAATCTTTGTCTGGATTATGACTGCACACTACATTTATTAACCACTTTTGAGAAAATGCTACAACTGCCCATGAGCATCATTATGTTGCTACTATTCTATAATCAATCCAAGCTATACCTGTGAATTCTTATGTAGTTTAGCGATTTTTTCACAATTTTTTTTATAAATTCATTAAAAATGACTTTTAAGGAAGTCATAGTCAAAGAATGGTGAAAACTGTTAGGATCACCACAAAGGGGGGGGGAAGAGATTGTTGAAAAGTATGAAAATGGCATGCATATCTAGGATTTGGCTAGGTGTGAAAAACAAAGATGCATTAAATCGGGTAATTTTACAAAGGTGGCAAAATCAATTACCAAACAAAGATGAGAGACGTTACACCATGTTTCAAAAATTGCTTTTGATCTGAATAGCAAAATAATATTTATCTGTACTTCATTTATGTACAATATATATTTTACCCTCTGCATTTTGGTTAGTAATCAGTGTTATAATAACAATAGCATTTTTTATATAAAGACAGATTAATTTGTTATTCTTATGGAAAAGTTTGTCTGGTGTACACCCAAAGATCTGGAATGGATTAATGACACATACATATGATGGCACTGTAATTCCAATTCAGAAATGTTTTTAACTAATTTTTTTCAAAATTTGATTGTTCCTTTTACACCAAGACTTTGTTTCGAGCTGATGGAGAAAGATTGATTTTATTCTGAGTGCAACGTTAATTCTGGTGATGCGCATCACTCGTGCTTGATGTTCAAATTTATTCGTCTGTCTGGTTGATTATTTTATTTATAATAATGCTTATTTCAATATCAAAGATGAAGAATAAAATATAATTGATTTGGTGACATACAGTTGTCATACTTTGGGGTAAGTACTTTGATTTCATATTCCCTTCTAGATCATACATTTTGATCTGCACGTTAGTAAGTACTTATGGGTTATTGCTACACATCACAATTTACTAAATAAGCAATTAATTTGATTTACATTTGCTAATCCTTTAATTCAAAAAATGCCAAGTGACTATTTTTGGTGCTCAAGTAATTCTAATTCACTACATTTAATTCTATTTCATTTTTACATTTAGCACCGCAACACACCATCTATTACAACACATATGAAAATGGCAGCGTTGCTTATTGAAACTGAAGAATTCTTAAACATGTACTTCCAGAGTTTGGTACATTCTGAAAATTTAATAACTTTTACTAAGGTAGTTACAATCTCCCACTTTACATTCACTTGGAAAGTCATGGAAAATATAATTTCCTCCTCCCCCAAAAAACAACAGCTTCAAAAATTGAAAGCAAATGAAGAAACATTGTAATCCGCAGTTTTAAGGATACAAAATATTTTACACTTTCCTATTTGTACAATTTTTTATTAATCATGTTTGTCTTCTGCATTGTTAATGAAGTATTATCGCTCCACAGAAATTAGTTGTTTGATCATCTTTTCTTTAGACATGAAACTGCTATCACATGTAGTGGCATTTCTGTTGGTAAAAATTTGTTTTTAGAGAGTACAGATGAGAATCTGCACAAAGTTAATCATGAGATAGTAGCAGCAGTAGAAAGTATACTTAATTTTACAATTAAAAAAAACAAAAAAAGTATTCCTGAAAACTTCACGGCAACAAATACATGATTGAATTGAAAGGGGGGAATATTGCATGATGTGAAAAAAATAAAATGGAAAACTGCTCTCAGGAACAGTGAACTTGAACTCTTCTTCTTAATAATAAATGGCAGCACAAGCTGTACTTCAGTTAGAGAATTATTATTTATGTTTTTTCTTCTAGTCTATCTAGAAACAGCAGTAGTAGCATGTTAAGGTTAATTTCAGAATGTAACTTGCATGAACCCAGTGAGATATGAAACCAATTCTTGTACACTGAAGAGCGAAAAACACAGGTATAGACATACCTATGCAAGTAACAAAGGTATGAAACCAATCACAGCAAACCACGTCAGTCGGTTTTTGACATGCCCACTGGCCACCTAGATCCCCAGACATGAACATTATTGAGCATATCTGGGATGCCTTGCAGTGTGTTGTTCAGAAGAAATCACCACCACCTTGCACTTCTATGGATTTGTAATTTGCCCTGCAGATTTCATAGTGTGAATTACCTCCAGCACACCTTCAAACATTAGTCGAGTCCACAGCACATCATGTTGCGCCAATTCATGATATTAGGCAGGTACACCAAGTTTTTTTAGGGGGGGGGGCTCTTCAGTGTACACACACATATGCATAATCAGAGAGAGATAAATAAATAATTAATTAAATAAAATCAAGGCTCTTGGATAACATGTCTGTCTCCTTCATTTGAATCAAGTAAGAAACAAGAATTATATTAAAATGAAAATGATCTAGATCATCATGAGTCTTAATTACATGGCCTATCCATTTCAACTAGAAGAAAGACAAAGTACAAGGAAATAAAAAAGCAAAGATAGGTCATTTTCCTTCCTATACGGTGGTTATTTTTGCCTTGTTTTGGTAAATGCAGAATTGAATCGAAGGTTACTATAGAAAGACATGATAAATTTAAAGAAATATCTACATTATAACTACTGTAAAACCAAGTTTTTCTACCTGGTATGTTTTCATTACCTACATTTTTGAAAGTGTAGCTTGAAAGTTATTACTTAATGTGCTTATCCAAATAAATAATGATTTTAATTTAGAATAATTCTTTAATCCTCATTTTATTTTGAAACACGATATCGGTAACATAAATGACATACTATGTTACAAATTTTGTACATAGATAGTTTTAGTGAAATTGTTATATTTTTCTGTATAATGTCACATGAAAATCTAGAGAAAGGATGCTGTGCCGGAAAAATAAGAATACAGGGTCAAGTCTGTTTAACATTGAGTAAATGGCTATCTTTCTAATTTGGTGAATATCGCCAAGCTGGCAACAGTTTCAGAGACTAATTTTTGTCACTTTATTTGGTGAGAAATTGCCAAATTTGACGATATTTTTCGGTTCCTGTATCATCGTACTAATGACTGTCGGAGAATAACTGTAATTGCTCATTATATCAACTGTAACCATATCTGGGCCTCATATGCCTACCAGTAATTTTGAGAAGCAGAAAGTACTAGAAATATCTCAGCAGCCAAGTAAAAACTATGTAAGATCAGAGAGAGTATCACTTCTCAGTTGTTATTTCAGAGCGACTTTGGAGTATTGAGATATCTGCAGAAATTTTTTTTCGATGTGCTTTACACTGCATTGTGTTAAACTTTCTTAATAGTTTGAAGTATAACTACTGATTGTACTCTGTGATACTGTAAACACCTAAACGAATATTTCTGTGGAAAGTTCCAGAGCTATGAAGTATTTCTTTTAATAAAATAAATTTTATCAACCTATCATCAAATCTATGTGCATTCAATCTATTATGAACCTGTATGCATGCAACACTATTACAACTCTTCTTTTACAGTGGATTATTTTTTTTTTAATCCTACCTATTTTTTAAGTGCTTAAGATATGTCTTTCCTATATACACATACAGTCTCATTTGCTTTTCAGATAAATTAAAGTTTTAAAATGTTCTCATTATATTTTGTAGTAAATGCATTTATGCTTATCTGATAATTAAATCCTCGTGTTTGGTCAAAAATATTGTTCAACCTGATTATCACAGATCTAAAAAATTTTAAAAAAAACTGAAATATTGGAGAATGTCATTGTTTGTTACATTCAGAACATATTACAAATAGAATCACACACAATGGCATGTCCAACAACTCCTAAATAGTCACTACATATTTGATTTCTTACCTGACTCAAACATTTGCCAAATGAATATTTCTAATTCATGATTGCACAACTAGTACACAAAAGATCATTATAGCAGATGACCTCAGGCAACATGTTGAAACTGCATCTTTTGCCATGTTTTGAAAAATATCTGCTGTGCATAGCTGCATGATAATTGTTCAACTAAGATCATCTCATGCTTATATCATTAAATCATTGTACATTACAAACAGCTTGGCTAGCTCATGTCTTTCATAATGTTGCACTTACAATGGCCAGGTGTACTTTTGAAAAGCTACTGAAAGCAAAATAATTTCAACACTGTGGAGAATGACTTCTATTAAAATAAAATCTAATTTTTTTCAATAATCAAAGTACAGTAAAACTCCCAACTAGTAAAACATAATTATGCTTTAAATGTTCTGGACTTTTATATGCATGCAAAAAGATTACCTGTATTAATCATTAATGGTTCCACCTAGGATAAAGCAGCTTTCATTATCAAATTCATAGGTAGCCTCATGCATATTGTGCACATCTATGTGAATTTTTCATGTATGAAACTAATAAAAACTTAATGAATATTAAATTTTTACAAAACCCTCCAACCACATTATTGAAACTGTTTTCAGAAAATTTTCAGTCTCATTAAAAGAAATTTTTTAAGTGGAAATATATATCTAGGATCAATATTTAATCCTTCAGTTGTCATAATTATCTCTATGATGATTTTCTCTACTCTATAAGAAAAGTATTTAACAGACAGGTGCTTCAACGAAGGGTTAAGGAAATAATACCTGTTGCCTCTTTCCTTCCTTCGAAATTAAAAATATATACATTAAGCTATAAACATTTAGTTAAAAGATTAATTGCAAGGTCAAAGACTAGATCAAATTTTTATTAAAGCAAAGCAAATCAGAGCTATTTACTTCTTTCAAACTTCAAATGAAAGCCTAATAGCTACATGTTTATGAAATAATATTATATTTGCTACAAAATGAAAAATAAAAACATTTTCTTTTTTTAAAGAATGTTTAATATCATGTGTCCAAAATGTACAATGGACTATAAAGAGCAATTTGAGGAGCATTTAATAATAAAATACTATATGATGCTTATTTTACAATCAGGAATTGTCTTTTTCAGTTTTGTCAAAAATTTTATCAGCTAGTTCAGTTACTTCATCTATTAACTCACACCTTTTCTTCATTTTTTGTGGGATTGAATCTGCTCCATGATAAGCACCTGCTATACTTCCAGCCATAGAAGCAATGGTGTCAGTGTCTCCTCCAACTGATATTGCAAAGAACAGAGTACGCACAAATGGATTTGAACTCTGAAAATATAAATACAGATCATATAATTTAAAAAAAATACTATTTTTTTAACATGACAGTATATAATTGCATTTCAACAGCAGTTGCACTACATCAGAACTGAGCATTCAGAGATACATTAAAGTAAAATCTTTCCCAGAACAGTAGTTTAATTAATTCAAAGCCTAATTAACATTTTCAGCTTTTCACAGCTGTAAAATGTATAATTTTAAAACAAAAATCAGTTTTGTATATTAAAGTTATACTACATTTGGTTTTAAAAAAGATTTCTTTTATATGCAAACACATTGAGGAATTCTTTTTAGAAAGAGTTGAATCAAAACCTCCCACCATATTTAGTTTCGCATAAATTTTGATTAAAACCATTGATTTCAAATGCGACTAGATACAGATTCCTCTTCTTCAGGAGCAAAGAAAAAAAAAATTCTTTTACATTAGGGAAAACTTACAAAAATGGTTGCTTTTTGATGGTATGCTAAAACAACTGAGAAAAATTATAAAAGGTGGTAAATATCAAAAATATGGAATAAGAAGGAAGAACAAAAGAGTTAAAATATGAAATTTTCAAAATGGCAGTAAGGTGGTATATTCAAAATGACAGAAATTACAAAATACAACAAAAGCAAAACAATGCCTATGATGCAGGAAAAATAAAATGGGTGCATGCAGGCAAATGATTAAACTGAAAGAAACTTCTCACAACTACAAGCTGTTAGCAAAAAATCAAATGGAATAGAAGCACAATGTCAAATTTTAAAAATCAGGAAAAAAAAAAAAAAAAAACTATTTGGTGTAGATTTTAAATAAAACTCCTACAGTATCTAAACACTCAGGAAATCAATAGAGTTACATTATTTTTCTTAACAAAAATCCTTTTGCATAAATTTACTTATATGAAGTAATATATTTGAAGACTAAATAGTAACATTCATTTGCACAATCTTCAATCAATGAGGAATGATTTAATCATTTTTGCACAGAAATTTCTATCATCTGAATTTTTAATGTCAAACTGAAGTTTTAATCCTATTAAAATAGTTAAAATTCTTGTTACTCTACAAGATAAACAGTATATACAATATACTCACCTGGTTAAAAAGACCTCGAATTTCAAAATTAAAACACTATTTTTGAGACATCATGCAGGTTTAAATTTTTTTATATGCTATCCCATTTATGTAATATAATTTTTTTATGTTCCATTTGCAATTTTTATAATGCATCATAACTTTCACAAAGTTTCTTATAAAATTTCAAACTGAAGTGTTGTCAGAAATAAATATACTTTATTTATTATAAGAAAAATATTATAAATTAAAACTCTAACAGTGGCAACTATTTATTTACAACAGATCCAAAACAGATATCTCTGCAAAGCTTTTATTGCATACAACCCCAACCCACTGCCAGTGATGTGGCCACTCTGGTTGGTATAGTAATTATCAATGCTGGCTGTGATACTGATGAGTGTGGGTTCAAATCCTGGAGAAGATATGGATGTTTTTAAATGCATAATGTCTGGGTGGCAATTAAAATACTAGTGAGGATGAAGTCCTCTCTAGTAGTTTGGTAATAGTAGAGGGAGACCACTGAATCATCTCCTGAAATGATCTCCAGCAAATTGGTGTGAAGCTGCCTAGTAAATGAGGTGAAACTATACTCACACAACCAATTGTGAAAGTCTAGTATCCAGCCCTCTTGTGCCTGTACCAGTCAGTAATATGGAAGTCAATAGTAAACCTAAAGCCATTTCTGTTTGCTCATAATTTGAATTGAACTGTTTGTGGCCTGCAGAATATCTAGAACAGTCTGAAAATGAATCCCATAAAATGGTTTCTTCAATTTAGAACACAAGCCATAATCACAGGGCTTAAGTCAAGAGAATTAGATGGAGCTTTATCGACCAAAAAAAAATGGACCACATTTTGTGCTACATGCACTCAAACACTGTCCTACAAAATAATGATAAGATTCTAGAAAAAGTAACATTGCTGCTTTCACAACACTGGTCAGAAGTTAAGTTCCAAAAATGAACAATACTATTACAGAATGAACTTCTTGAGGTATATAGTATATCTTAAGACAACAACATTATTGTTACAGATGAAGGGAAAAAAACATAACTTCCACATTTTAGGCTTCTGATAAGCTTTTGATTTTCATGGTGACCCACTTGTTTGACTTGCAGATAGCAGGTTTGAATCACTTCAGATAACTGATGTGTATCGTTTCGCTTATACTTCATCCAGCCTAATGATGCAGTAAAAGAAATCCTCTCATTCATGCTCCTAGCACTACAAGTAGGGCAGTATAACATCTTATCAAAGACAATTCTGGATTTCCAACAAACAATTCACACATACTCTTTTCATCACAGCAAATGTATATCAGATTGGAAGACTGAATCCATTTACTATAGGATAGATTAGGTACCAACTAAAGTGTAGTATAGGTGAGGTACACATTTCATTTTTGGCATATATGCAAACTACCATTTAAGTTTTCACCGGTGTACATTAGATTCAATGTATAAATACAGTCAAAAGTCTTTAATCCGGACTCGTCGGGACTTCGGCGATTCCGGATTAGGGGTTTTTGCGGATTATAGATTATCAATTTAAATCTGGTAAGATGGCATGCAGAAATCATAAAATTAAAAATATGAAACTGTAATTTATAAAATAAAGAGCAATTACGATCTAAAGGCTATCAAAATTTTAAAAAAAAAAAAGCTTAATTTATTTGTTTACTTTATTAAACCTTTCTTTCAATGTAAGCTGTTTAAGTGCTTCATTTATGTGCTATACTTTCTCTTTAATTATATAAACAGACATAATTTCTTGTCAGTTGCAAGTTCCACTGTTCAAGTCTGTAATTGCTGTGCCGAGAAGACGACTAACTTGTCAACCGAAATTTTTTCGTTTTCACTAACCTCTCTGTCACTTTCTCATGCCTTTATCCATTTTTGCAGCAATTCCACTTTTTGTTTGATGGACATCAAAACATGCTTTCGCTTTGTAGATCCTTTGGCAGCTCCAGAATCAGAAACTCTTTTTGACATCATCAAAAGTTCAAGCTTACTTTTTATATAATTGCTCTAACAGTCTACAAAATATAATAAGCTGGATCCAATTAGAAGATTAAGGAACAACGCAATCTGCAACATTAACTGAAATAGATAATCTGATAATTTTTGCCTAGCTTATACCGTCCGTTATACATTAAACGCGCATGTGTAAACGTATTATGTGCATGTGTAAATGCATATGTGCATGAATAAAGGTATTATGCACATGCATTAATGCTACGCATGCGCAGAAAGTTTGCAGCTTTGAGGTCCGGATTACTTTGTACTGTATATTGCAAAATTATACTTTTGTTATATATATTGGTGGATATGCCGAATGGAGAATTAAAAATTTAATATAAGTTTTTTCTCTCCATTCAAGCATATCTGTAACAATTTTAGAGTTACTCATATACTATTCGACTAATAAATGCAAAAGTTTTCTCAGTTCCTTACATAAAAGTTTCTGTTATGGAATAACAAATAAAGTGCCACACTGTTTAACATGGTGGATCAGCTATCACATGTTTGGGCCCTGTATTTTAACCTAGGAGAAAGCATAACTTTCATAAATCTTTATTATGTCTTTGCAGCATTTAAAATATTGTTCAGTTGAAAATTCTTTTAAGGGGTTGTATATATACTTAATATAAGTTTGTATATATACAGGGTGGCCACTGAAGTGCGGTACCGCCCGTTTAATTGCCGAATGGCTGCAGTTATAGTCACAAAAGTGGTGTCCAGGCATAGCAAAGTGGCTATGCGCTACTGTCAAGACTACAAGACTACTTACAAGACTATTCTTGTATCTATAAAGGTCAGAATAAACAAATCCAGCGATGGAAATCCGAGAGAAAACAGCATTTTAACTAATAGTTTGGTAACCCCTTATAACTTGCAGTAAAATTCATCTTTGAACTCAAAGCAGGCATTTAGAGTTAATTTTCTTTTTTAGAGACAATCCCAAAGCTCTACATCCATATGAAATAAAGGGTACAATGCCTTGTTTATAAATAATTGCACTAACATTCGATTTAACATCAAACCCATTACATGCAATTTGATTCAGCCATGCTGAAGTTTCTCACTTTATTAGAAATTGTAGGGGAAATATGCTTTTTCCAGTTTAATTTGCTGTCCAACAAAACATCTAAATATTAATTTCATTCACCCTCTCAAGGGGATTGCCATTTAAAAGCATTGATATCTCATAAGTATTATTTTTTTCTATCATAAACATGGTCTTGAAATTTACATGGTTAAAGTTTAACTTAAAATCTATGACCAATGATAATGAAATCTAAACTCTTGGGCAAGATGAAAATGAAAAGCTTTTGCTTCTTTCCTTGATACAAATCAACAAATCTCTACAAAGGCAATGACTTCACAACTGAAGGATCAGAAAGTTTCTGTAAGACTCTTCAATAATATCCAGCTTGGGACCGGAAACAGAGTCTTGTGACATCCTCCTGAGGTGACGAAACACTGAAGTGCCAACCCAAAAAAAGCTTGACCATCCTTTCAGCAAATCAGAAACAACATTAAACACATTATGAGGTATTTTCATTTCTTTTAGTAAATTAAGAATAGCAGGCCACCATGCATTATCTGTCTGTTAAGTGATTTAGTGCTTGAAAAGAGGCCCCAAACTCTTGATATGATACTTTGATGGATATTCAAATCTTGGGGGACCTCTATTTGTGTTTGATGCCCCTCAATTCTACCAATTATTCACCACATTTGACCCTCATTTAATGATGACTTTGAGCCATAACTATTGAATACTGATCACTCTCAGACACCACATTCACTTTAAACAACACTTCAGACTAGAATTCCAATATGCGTTCATTGCGTACCACATCATCAGTCACCAAATTAGCATATTTCCAGCACTAACAAATGGACAGAAGTTCAATTTTGTGTTCGGTTGTATCTAATTAACATAAATAATTACAGCATTTAGGCATTGGTTGCAACATTAACTTTGAGCATACTTTTTCTCATTATCCTTTAATTTTGAAAATTGTAAATAGTGCCCTAAGACCTTGGTCCTATTTGTCTATAAATTTGTAAATTTATGCATTTATTTATTGGTTTAGTATTTGATTTGTTTCATGTTGTTTTGGCATTGCATTGTAAGTACGCTTCTTGTCTATGGATTGTGCTACCTGGACGTGCAGTATAATCCTCTGAAACTGTTATTTTAATATTGAATTGATTTTCCTTGGTTGTTAAGTATTACTCCCTATTTCGGGATTGTACTTCCCAGAGCATGCAATCCTTGGGAAGGGATACATACGTGTATGTTATATACGTGGAAATAATTTTATTGAAATTATATGTAAACTGTGGTATCTTTTGTATAATCTAACACAAAAGGCCTAAAGAATGTGAAGCTCCATTGGAAAAATAAGGTTATGGGAGCAGGTCCATTTCACCTTGAGATAAATATGTACCTCAGCAGTAGCAAGCTGGTGATGGTTTTGGCAACTAATTTTCCTCATCAAATCTGGCAAGAAATCGCTAAAAGTCACCAAATTTGGCAATATTTTATTTCTATACTTACGTAACTGATCCTATACCTATGTAATTGTCTCTGGCCCTATGTAACTGCATATGCCTTCCAGCAATTTTGAGAAATAGAAGGAAATTTCTCAGTGGATGGGCGAAGACTATATAAGACAGGAGACAGTATCAGTTCTCAGGTTTTAGCTCAGAGTTGAGTATTGATGATATTGAGACATCACTACATTAGTTTATGCATTTCAGGCTTTAAACGCTGTGTTTAACATTCATAGTAGCTTGAAGTCGTAACTACTTATTATGCTCTGTTATATGGAGAAGAGCTGTCAGTGTACTTTTACAAAAAGCTGCAGAACTGTAAAGTGTTTCTTTTGGGAAAAAAATATTATCAAGCTATTATCGGTTCTGTGTCTGTGTTCAATCCATTACGAACCTGCAAGCACCACAGAGGTAGGAATAAAGGAGAAACCATTCTCGCACTATGGCTGATGCAGTGCTGCCAAGCTTTGGTAGCCAAAGGGGGGTATCATACTATTGTTTATATCCAGAGCACATTACCTTGATAGAGGTTTAGTAGCACTTTCATACAAGATAGCTTTCATGTAAAATATTGCAAAATGTGCTTCTTTCAAATTTTTAGGGAAGATGCATAATAAATACTAATTTTAAACTCATCATTTTATTTTTATATAACAGAAAAACAATCACTTTGGGTTTATATATCTTAATAGAAAAATGAAATTAACTAGAAATCTTGAAATCCTTGTTAAAATTAATAAACATATAAGCTTTTAAGTCAACATTTTCTTCATTTGTAACCATAAATTCGTGCAAAATTGCATACAGAAACATTTGCAAACAGAGCAAAAACACCATGTGTGGTCGAGGTGAGGTAAGCATGTGAATGTTTGATGTGTAAGCATGCAAACATCCCACATCATCACAACAGCTTACTAAGAATTTGAAAATAAAGTGATCCACAGAGGTGAAAACCTTTGTGTATTCCGTCTGTCATTGCTTCAAGGGAGTGTCTGAGAAAAGACAGTTCAAGTCTCTCCTTCATTTATTATCTCCATGGTACATACATAACAATATTTAAAATATAAATACATGCATATGTTAGAGCAAATTTAAAAATAATAAAATTATACATGTCAATATACACATGCTATTATTATTTAACTATTTTTTCCTCGCTCTGAAAACAGATTATTTAAAGTTAAAAAATAGATTTCAAGCTATTTCACTCTCAGGTTTCAGTTATCTACATATGAAGCATCATTCAAGATCAATCTTTATTTTTTCATAAAAAATAACATTGTTAATGATTAGCACCGTGCTCAAACGGAAAAGCACAGATTTAAACTTTTTATATTCAAGTGTTAAGCTCTAGATTCATACAGTGCTTCATTAATTTGATTACATTACTGCTATAACAAATACAAAAAAATATTTTTTACTTATTTTTACTGTTTAAAATCCCTCTACTAGCATGACTATTATTAATATGAGAAATGTAGAAACTATGCTAAAAGCTAAAATGTACTTCAGATAAGATATTTTTGGAACTTAATTTAGATGATGCTAAAAAATAAAAAATGCAAGGAAAAAACATTCTCTAGTTCAAAGCAACTATAAGAATTAAATAGTTATTCTTTGCTTTCCATCCATTAGTTATAAAACTGCATGCATTTTACATTAATCTTTGCGTCTCTTTTTCTCCTATCAATAAGATTCACTGTTTCATACTTAAAAGTTCTACTCCAGATATGAATTCCTTGGACAATTACAGCAAAATTGCCAGTGTAACTTAACAGATATTAGTCAAATAAAGAAAGCCTTGAAATTTCACACTAAAAAGCACAAAACATGTTCAGAAAAAAAGAAACTCCTAAACCCTCCACTGCCAATCATTACTAATAAAAAATTACATTTTTAGTTTCCCTGCAGCCAAAAATTATTTGAAAAAGGTCTTCCATTGGCAAATTAGATTTTCTGGAGGTGTTACCTATCTATAAAAATCTTCTGGTTCTGCTTAATGTTCCCCCATTCTAATTTTTTTCATTAGCTTTTCAAAAAACTACTTAGTTACTTGTCTTTTGCATTATGGTCAACCAATGTCATAATTGGTTTCATTTTTCTATCATTTAGTATCTTTTGCCTTTTCTCACATAGGCACACATTTCTCTATTGTCATTTTCACTCCCATACCTGAAGAAGAGAGGTTTCATATAAACGTTTAAATGAATTTAGCAAATCCAGCAAATTTATTCACATTATGCCAAGTCTTGTTAATCATTATTAATCTAGCATTTGTTTCTCCAAGGTGGCGGGTTTTTTTTTTTTTTTTTTTTTTTTTTACATTTAAACCACTGACAAAAAATTGTAAGTCACATGATTTGCTCTAAACATTAGTCGCTAGTATTTTATTCTTACTGATTTGTGGAGGAAAAATAAATGTACTTTTAAATGGTCTCTTTGATCATTTCTTTGACAGCTGACTCTTCAAAAGAAGGCTATTAATGTTATCTTATACTCTGCTTAATACACCATTATTTGGGATGCAGCTTGATTTCTACTGTTTGATGTCTGGCAGACAGAGAGAGATATATAAAAAATAAGTGCTTACCTTTATAAAATAAATAGGTACAAAAATGCAGATCTAAAAATATACAGATAAACTTCTAAATGATATATGGAATCATATCTAGTTTGATAAAATATTATTATATTATAATTAGTTTATTTAAAAAAAATATTTAGAAAGAAAAAGACCAAATAGTATCTTCATGCAAAAGATCAGTACTTTGTTTTTTAAGATGCCCTTCTTAAACAGATACACAAATTGTAAGCAAATAACTTTTTCAAAAAAAAAAGGAAGGATTGGATTTCTGAAGTTTGTCCAGGTTTGGGGTTTGTAAAATATGATACCGATTAAAGAGATGTAGTGCAAATACATGGAGACAACATAAGGAAGAACTGAGAACAATACTGAATAATCCCCAAAAGATACGGAAAAAAACTGCATATGTGTTAAATTACGGATTAGGAAAAAACTATTTTCATAAAATAGATAAAATTATTTATACCTATCATTGTTTCTGGTATAAAAATTATTTCTACCATAATGCTACTCCTAGCATTAAGAAAATAATAAGAGTAATAATAATAATTGTGAGGATGATACAAAAACCTCAAACTAATCATACAGCAGATGGAAAATGTGTGTAAGAATGCATGCTTCATTTGCAAATAAAGCCTCAGCTAGTGAAAATATATATTTTAAGTTCAAAGTCTGACAGTAGGAGAGAAAATACATTGCATGTGACATCCCTTCTAACAAGCAATGATATTAGAATAACAATGCACATTTTAAAAAATAACTATCCACAATTGTACATTCTTCCAAAGCAAATAATGGAAAACAGACATGAGAAGGGTTTATGATTTTCTGATGTATTTAAGTGCAGTTAATCAGATGAGACCTTCATATACAGCATACTCTGATGTTTCCAACCTAATGAAATTTTTAATTACATAATAATAATGGTTACTGGATTAAATATGTTTCAAAGCAACTACATTTGTCTGGAGAATGAAAGAATAAACATCATATTAAGACCTTCTTTTATGGAACTGAAATTTACCTCATACTCCAGGAACGGAGAGAGACCTCTTAGAAAGGAATATATTGCTGTTGGTACCGATCTTTGTGCTGATACAGCATTACCTATAAGAAAAGGAAAAAATTACTACATATCATGAATATAATATTATCACAGAAACCAACAAAACAACTACTATTTTTCCTATGATTATTACAAATTATACCATCATGCATCCCTTTTAAGTGTTGACCAGGCATGAAAGTGCAAATTGGCAAAAAAAGCTGAACAACGCGCGGACACAAAATTACACAGAAACTAATTGTGCACGTGCGACATAAAAAAAAAACACATTTTAATAAAATATCAACCTTTTAATATAAAAAGTATTAAACATATACATATAATTAAATTAAAATAATACTTGTACTTACTATTTTGTTATTAATTTTATCTTCCACTTGTTAAAATAAAATCAATAAATCACCAAGAGATTGTAATGAATTAACCTTCTTTAAGATGCTCTTTATGTAACTTAATTTAACAGTTAATACATGAATACTGTACACAACATTTGCCCATTTTCAGTTAATGACAAGTTTTAGAGATAATATATATATATATATATATAATTAAAGGAGGAATACAAAAAATAACTATTTTGTCTCAGTCTCACTCGATCCTGATAAAAAATTTTCAGGGAAAAAACTTTTTCTTTTTTGCTACTTTTGCAGCCAACTTTTCTAATTTATGTTTGCAAGCTGGCCTCAATTTCTTTTCAGCAGCTTTTATACAATCCATTGATACTTTTTTATTTTCTTCTTTATTTTCTGCAATGTTTAATTGCTTTTTTTTTAGATTCTCGCTCCTCCTTTTCTTTTCTATCTCTAGCTCTTCTTTGCACAGTTATGAGCATTCCTTAAATTTTTACATAGAGTTTTGTGTACTGGAGAATGCAAGTGGTTATCCGTATGTCCGACAGATGGCGCCAGCACCGATCGCTGAAATTATTGAAGTCAGCTCTCGTTTGACGGTTGCTTGCTCTTCTTTAATTCGATATTCGTACACATCTAGTTCCGCCTTTCCACATAAGCCCCACTTACTTGGCCTTGATGTGAAACAACGTATTTCGCGATCTCGGCTCAGGCAAACTTGAAAAGTTCGCAACAATGGGTGCCCGCGTTTGATCGCTAACCCGGCGTAATATTATACGATGGCAAGATGCAAATTTTTTTTTTTACAAAGAAAACAGGAAGAGAGAGAGCATGCCCTCCATTTACCCCCCCCCCCCCACACACACACACACATATTTGACGGTCGCGATTTCTCAATGGTTCAGTATCGATCTCAGAAACAGCCCGGGTTACGTTCAAAAAAGCGGAATTCCGCAAAAACGCGGAAAACTTTCATGCCTGGTTGACTAAACATGAAAAACTCTACATAAATTCCATACAATTAGATTTATTTTCATTAATAACTAATAATAAAAGTTTAATTACAAAAACTTCAATTAATCTAGATCAATAATATTAATTCAGATGAATAACCCACCTTATTAATCCATACGTATAGTTAAAAAAAAATTAGAATTGCTTAGGCATATAAATAAACCCCAAAATAGAAGAAAAATTTTAATGCATTAAATCAGTTATGCTAAAATATATATTATTTTTTAAGTATTTAACAACATATTAAATATGCTTCAACAAATATTATTGATATAATTATTAAATAAATATTTAACAAAATGTTATAATTATTAAATACAATAACATTTAACATTTTGCTATAAATAAATTACATAATTTATTACAGTCAAAAGTCGTTAATCCGGACGCCCATAATCCGGAATGATCTATAATACGGACCTCAAAGCTACAAACTTTCTGCGCCTTCATGAACGCATTAATGCATTCATGCATGCACGTACTACCCTTATGCATGCGCATATGCATGTGTATAATACGTTTACGCATGCACGTTTAATGTATAACGGATGGTATAAGCTAAGCTAAAATTATCTAATTATTATTTCAGTTAATGTTGCAGATTGCGTTGTTCCTTAATCTTCGAATTGGATCCGGCTTATTATTTTTTGCAGACTGTTAGGGCAATTTTATAAAAGCAAGCTTGAACTTTCAATTATGCCAAATAGAATTTCCGATGCTGGATACTGCCAAAAGATCTACAAAGCGAAAGCATGTTTCGATGTCCATCAAACAAAAAGTGGAATTGCTGCAAAAAACGGATAAAGGCATATCCTTTCTCTACTCATTCCGAAATCTGTTTATCAATTTCACCCTGCTCTGCGGGGAAGGAGAACGTCGCCACACGCAATGAAATGGAAGCTGATCTGTCAGCACTATCCTTATCTTCAGGGCAGATGTTTTTATTTTATTTGGCTTATAATTCATTACTAAATGTAGTATTTCATCTCGATGTACTCTGTCTTTCATATGATTTAAATCAAATTCATTATAAATATCACGAATACACATCAAATAGTTTTCTGGTTGCAATTTTCTAATTTCAACTATGCGTAATGTATGCTTTACGCATGCGCGCATTGAAAGAAATGTTTAATAAAGTAAACAAATAAATATTAAGCTTTTTTGAGGGGGGGGTAAATTTTGATACCCTTTAGATCATAATTGTTCTTTATTTCATAAATTATGGTTTCAAATTTTTATTTTATAATTTCTGCATGCCATCTTACCAGATTTAAACTGATGATCTATAATCCAGAATCGCCGAAGTCCCAACGAGTCCGGATTAAAGACTTTTGACTGTATAACAAATGTTTAAATTTAGTAAAATAAGATAAAATATTACAACAATGAAAGGTGTTATTTTTCTTTTTTTCTTCTCATGAATAAAGAATTTGTAATGAAACATTGACAAAAAGCACAGTTGATGTTTCCAAACAGGTATTTAAGCATCAATCACTGATTGGCAAACTCTGTTACATACTTTAAAATGTCATTCAATTTAGAAATAAGAATTAACACTTTTTAGTCCAAAAAGGCAATTTGCCCTGAAGGACTATTATTTTCATCCTTGCATTTTGCATTGGTTCACTATAAATATCCGATTCACTTTTCAAATTGTTGCCGCCAAATATTATCGCCCTGTATTATATTTAATGAAATTAAATAATGAAGAATCTGCATAAATGTATATATGTTTCTCACATTGTGATAAAAGAACGGTACCTAGAGCCATCTAATTTTGAATAACATAAATTTCCACCCGAATATGGGCATCTGGAAGCCCAAATTTGGAATCTGTTTTTTATCCATTTCATATTTTGTAAAACTTTAATGAATTTTTGATTAACAAACACAATGATTTAAAAGTGAGCAATGGAAACACTTTATGGGGGGGGGCTTTTTATTTCTAGCGTGCGGAACTGCGTATCAGAAATTCTAAAGATATGCTCATTTTAAAATTATTTTGCAATATTGCTGTTGAGCTGAATTTTATGGTTTAAGTGCGAAGAACATGATGTTTAATAAATAAAGGTAACACACAAAATGTTAAAAAAATGCCGCTAAAATTAATTTTAAAATTTTTATCTTTGATTAGACTTTTGTACAATAAACCGATTTATCTATAACAGAAATACACATTTTTGAGTATCTGCCTTTCTTGTTTTCAAACAAAATTATTCATCTGTTAATTTACAGGTTTCGTACATACTTCTGCAAGCGGAAATTAAGCACTTTTACAGTCAATCAATGAAAAAACTTAAGGACCTATCAAATAGGAAGTGAATAAACTAATGCAATTATCTACACCCGAATTTCATTTATGCTACACCACTTTTGTTATTTGTAAGAATAAAATAATTCTGTAAGTAGGATGCATTATTATTAAGTATAATTTAATATTTAACTTAATTATAAAACAAATTCAAGAATAAAATTAATTTCACAAATTTGAAAATTCTTGAAACATTTACTAACAGTTTTATGTTGATTCTTTCTTTTATGCCTCATGTCGTCACATACTCGCTCAGCCCAGAGATATATGCAAATTTTATGTCAAGTGGCATAAGTTAAACCATGAAGTAAAATAATAATCAGCATGACTCATAACAGAAGCTCGGCTATTGCAACCACAGTTGCTTCTTTAGAGACAGACAACCGCTGATTAGAATAGACGTGAAGGTCTGACATTGTTAAGTACTGAAAGTTAGTTGCACTTTGTCTGACACAGCTAGTATCATAGTTTTGTGCAGATTTGCTGGAATTGTAACCTAATTAATATACAGTATTTAATTTAGAGTTCCAATAAGCCACTTAGTACCAGAGATGACAGATTGATTTGTATTACTTTAAGTCTCATTAGTTGCAAGGAATAAATTTTTATGTTAATTTTTACATCCCTTTTATTATTAACGGTGCTTTTTGATTGATGAAATGCTACTTAGTGCCAACCTGACATGAAATTTATGTAGATGGTGGCAGTTCTAATGAAAATACATAAAAAAAAAATGTATTTATAAAAAAATGAATTTGTAATAACAGTAATGTATCATATAACATAATATACATTCATGTGCAAAATTACAAAAATTTGCATATAACATATAATGTTAAACTTCTCAAAAAACTAATGAACAGAGTTTAAAGAAATAGGTATGACTATACATCTATATCAGAGAAAGAGATGTATCCTTCAAATATCATTTTAACATACACATGATTATCAGCTAATAGTGCTGGGATGTCCAAAATCCACATTGTGACATTGAACTGAAAATAAGCCTATTATGGGGTGTGGTCCTCCTCACAGCCAGATAGGTCATGCAGGGTGACAACATACTGGACAGGAAGCAGTTAAGGATACCCTGTGGCAGTCAATCCTACTCCTGTAGCATGAGAGTTTTCAACTCCGGGATGGTTCTCGCAGGGTGATGGCGAGATAAAATTGAACCCCAAACATGCTCAATAGGATTTAAGGTCAGCAAATCTGGCTGGCCAATTTATACAATGAATATTGTTCTTTCCTGGTACCTGTCATCCAGAAACAAGAACTCAGAACCAGCTCTGCGGTTGAAAAGTCGAATACAGGGCTCTAAGATGTCAGGAAGCCTTTATCAAACACATGAAGTGGTGTGTGG